AAGTTTGAAATTCAAACACAACTTTCAGTTATAATCTAATTAGCAAAATGTTGCTATTTGAATGATTGTCAATAACTTTATAGACAAATGAGTTATTGAAAAATTAAAATAACGTTTTACTAATTAGATTACAACTGAAAGTTGTGTTTGGATTTCAAACTTAATCCATCCATTTCACACATTTATGTTATAACATCTCTGTCTGTCCGTCAGTATAGTGGGTCTAAGAGTAAATGATGTCCAATATTGTCAGATATTTTGGGTTCAATCTTTAGTAAACTGCCTTTATACACGTATAGATTATGGCCATAAATATTTTCTTCCAAAATAAATTGTACTGATTAATCACCTTAAATGTTTTATCATAATTAGCCAATAATAACCTAGTGCTAATTGGTGACGGTAGATATTTACATGATAATTTGTATGCCTGTTTGTTTAGTGATTTTACACGATGGTAACAATACAGGCAAACAATTATGTATAACTCAATAATACCATATGTAGTAATTGTGGCGTAAGTGATCCAGTAAACAAATATGATCGAGGACATAATACCATATTTTATACCATTTTCTAAATTATATTTACTAAATAACAATATTATTGACATTATAATAGACGATACTGTTATGGTTTGATACGCGCATTGAAACACACAGTGAATAATATTTGTGTACAAAATAAATTGTATCAAACATTTTTTATCAGTAATTAATAGCTGTTTTAGTGGTAAATCGCCTTTCAATACATTTATTATTATAAACCAATTCATGTCACATAGATTTGCGCTAAAAAATATATAACATGCGAAAAAGTCAAGCAGTGATACACTGAATGTCATTATATCGAAATAGACTCCCATTCCTCCGAAGTGTTGCAATATATCAAACCAATAGTCCTGACGACACTCCGGTCGTCCACAACACTATGTAAATTAAATATCTAACGGCATTTAACATGTTATATAACATAAATACAATACATTTAACATGATGAATAGTGGGACCCACTGGTCTGAATAATAGACCTCGATCAAATAAGTTTGTTAGTTTATTAATTGCAAGAAATTGTGGCAATTTCTTATTTAAATTCAATTTATGTTTATTAAATATTCTCCAATTGTTTACAAATGTATGAAATGTTTTCATATCTGTATTAAATTTTGTTAAATGGCTCATTATTTTAACTTGATAGGTTTTCTATTTTAAACATAATATTTAATATTAAAATTCTATATTTTTGTAACTTTAAACTGAAAATTGTTACTTATTTTTTTCTCATTAAAATTAAATAATATTATTTTATATTTATAACAAAAAAATTGATAAAATGTCTTTATGTTTAACATTACAATAAGAAGTACAAGTAAGATAATTATAGTACGGTACGATAATTTAATTAATACATGTAATTGTATTCATTAATTGTTTTATTGAATAATATTTAATTAATTATTTATAATTAGATTGGGTGTAATTAAATGACCTTAGCTTATTTCCAAGAATAAATTTTTGTACATTATTTTTTAAATATTTTTAATTCAATCGACAATAATTAAATGAAAAATATAACGTACAGTAAATTCACAAACCACTTGTACTGACATCATTTATAATATAATATAAATTTTATATGATCATTTTGAGCAATATTTGTTAGGTAATACAAATAAATTACAATTATGATAATGATAAATTCAGACATTTTAATTGAATATAATATGCTAATTACTCAATTAAACATTTTAACCATGTATTTAATTTTATAATTATTTATATTAAAATGTAAATGCGTTTTATTCACAAAATTTAAGATAGAATTAATTTACTTTTGAACTTTTTGCATATTATTTTCAACATGTTATTAATGTTGTTTAATGTCGTGTTAGAATAATTAAAATTTGAATTATGTTATAATTTGTCCACTTTATTTAAAGATATATTTTACATTAATTATTACAATCATTTGCTATACAAAAATACTAACTTATATATTAATTTCTAATCCAATTTTCATTCAAACTATTTGTTGTGAAAGTTTGCGAATGAGTAGAAAGAAACGAAAACACAAGACATAAATCTAAAAATTAAACATTATTTAATAATTAATTTAATGAATAATATTTTATTTGTGGTCTATAAGCAGAGTGGGAGATCATAAAGAACCTTGTAGCATTCATGGGAACTTGTGGCAAATAATTAATATTTATTTTCAATTAATACATTAATTAAAACAAGCGAATAATGTAAGAGATAATAGTCTATGTTTATTAAAAATAATGAGATTCCCTTTTTATAACACATTTGTACCCAAAATATAATTGAATTTTTGTTTTTATTATAGTTATGGAAAATATTTTCTAACATAATTGGGAAGCAAACAAAATTCCCAAAACAAATATGTGTTTAATTATAACATTCATTTAAAGCACTTTTATTATAGCCCATAAACTAAGGACAAAAAATAATTGTTTATTTAATTAATATATGACAGCAATAGTGTCCATAACAACAGTCCTAAAAGTCTTATGTAATGTATATTAATAGCCGCATAAAAGGCAGTATAAAATGACCACAAATTCATTGCATATCTTATTTCAATGTAATTGAGTTTATAATGCAATACAAAATATTTGTGTCCAGCAATTAAAATAAAGTGAATTCAAAACATACAAAACACAATGAATTCAAAAGTATTTCCTATAAAAACACTGTTTTTATTGTACGGCATTAATTTGGGCGTAAATCAAAGCGATAGCCGTTTTAAAAAGTTAATTTACATAGCGCTGCGAGTGAAGACCGAGATGATTTTGGTCTACTTTATGCATTTTGCGTTCAGTATTGTACCATCAGATGTGAGAAAAAGTTTGTACAGCATATCATTTGTAAGCAAAGCGATGCTAATATTCATTAACTATCAATACATGTTATATAAACTCAAAGACATTATTAATATAATGCAAAACATCGACAAAAATCTTTGCGCTAAAGCGAGACAACAGATGAAAACTGTCGGTCAATGCCTGATATGTGTATTTGTAATGTTTTTTATGGCCAAAACCATAGGCAATATGTGGGTCAAGTGGACTACTCTATCGTATACCCTGTGGACAATCTACGGCTCCGGGCATATAGTGATCACAGGATTGCTATTAATTCACACGTGTTTTGCCATACATTTACTGGAGAGCAAAGTGTTTGAAACCGACGATAGGGTGACCGACAAGTGTTTCTCATACGCGAACTTACGGCACAAATTGTATTTCATTAATAAACTCAAAGAATCAGTTAATACAACCTTAGGATTCATACCATTCCTCTGGTTCTGCGAACTCTTTGCCTCGACATGTCTTCGGCTGACATATCTGGCCGTCAATAAGACAATCACTAATACCGCCGAATGCGTGATAGAGTACACACTATTGGCGATGTTTCATCTGGGTTTTGTACTTACCATAAGCTATTTTCAGGCCAAACGTCCGCCGGCTAACGAACTGTTACACATGTTAAGCAATGATGGTCATTGTTTTACTGTCCAAGAGTTTAGCTCTAGATCAGTTATCGTACAGCAAATTATTCACGCCTATTGTCACAGCGATTACAGGGCTTGGGATGTGTTTATTATTGATAAGCGATTTATATTTACATTCTTGGGTTCTGTGGTTCCCTTTACTGTTATGTTAATACAGTTATTGCCGCAACAAATTGCTTGATTTGTCACAGCGATTACAGGGCTTGGGATGTGTTTATTATTGATAAGCGATTTATATTTACATTCTTGGGTTCTGTGGTTCCCTTTACTGTTATGTTAATACAGTTATTGCCGCAACAAATTGCTTGATCATTGTTTTGCATTTAATTCACGCGGGATAATACACAAAAACAAATTACAAATTATAACTCAACAATACATTTAGTTAACTTTTCGGTTACTTATAATTTATAAGTTATAATTCAAAACATTTACAATAAAATAGTGCAACGATTTTGTGACCAAAAATGATATCCGAAAAGAGACTCAAGAAATTGGTCCACAAGAATGGCGTCCATAAGGTTTGCCATTAATTTATAAATTATTTACACTTAATGTACATTTGATTATCACTTCAGTTGGCGTACGAAGTGTTTGCAAAGGACCGGACATGGGATCCAGTGCTCAAACCGTTAGATATGGTCGATGTGATCGCTAAGACGGGTATGAAATTTGATCACTTGGTTTGGCTGTACTATAACGGCCCGATGGGTCCCAATCCGGCTGAAAACCGTCAGATTGTGTGGACTTATATGCGCTGGCGTTCAGCTCTTCAGGGAATAAACATAAAATTTTAGTTCATTTTTCACAAGAAATATGATTTTTTTGTTTGTCATTTGATTTTCTTTTTCAAATAAATTGTTTATTAAATGTGACTTTATTTTTAGCTAAATTGTGTTCATTTGTTTAATATATTGGCAGTAATTTAAAAAGAGTTAATAAATGTATCAAATTATTTGTAATATATCTCAAAAGTAAATGTGACAAAAAGTATTTAAAATAAATATTTTGTTATAAAGTTATTAAACATGTGTTGGACTTCTCATTAAGCTATTGATGAACTAACTGTGAAATGATTGCAAAATAAAATGTAAATGCAATTAATGATTTATTAATTTTGTGATAATTTATTTAAAAATTTGAACATGTTTGACAATTTTGGGCAATTATAGAGCAATATATTTTTAGTATCTGAAACTTTGTTAAGGATTACATACACTTTGTTAAGGATACAAATACAAAATATTTTTTAAATAGATTTGCGAATAAAACTAGAATTTTGCTTTTAATTGTATTCATTTATATTCAACACTCAATGAATAAAAACTTTAATATTTTAAAAATACAATCTACAGTACAATACAATCTACGTATAACTCTAACAATACATTTAATCAATTAATTTTTCGGTTACTTATAATTCAAACATTTGTATAAAAAAAAGTCCAACGCTTTTGTGGACGAAAATGTTATCCGAAAAGAGACTCAAGAAAGCAATCCAGAAGAATGGCGTCCATAAAGTTAGCCATTGATATACTTTATAAGTTATGTATAATTAATGTACATTTTATGATCCCATCAGTTGGTGTACTCCGTGTTTGCAAAGGACTGGACACCGGAACCAGAGTTGGAGACATATAGGCCTCAACCAGTGGTAATCCTTACAAAAAATGAATTCATTTGGTTCTTCGGAACGGTTCCGATGGACACCACAAAGGCTGTGGTCCTGAGGAATGCGATGGTGTTTTTCGATTGGCTTTTATATCATCAACAGATGCACGACAAGTATTAGTGATTATTACAAGAATTACAAGAATTGTGAATTTTACAAATGGGTTTGAGTTTAGTTTTCACTTGATTTGCATTCAAATAAATTGATTATTAGTTTTAAATTGAATAAAACCGTCAAAACTATGTTTTGTTAAAACTATTAACATTTGCTGAAATAAGACAACAATTTGTCAAATTATGCATAAAAAGTGTATAACTTTTTACTCACACATTAGCTAAAGTTGTTTTTACTCACAAATCATGTAAATCATCACTTTACATTATAAAGTTTATATGAATAATGTGGTTTATAGGATCTTTCAATATATTCTTAATATCTAAATCTTATTTACGGATTTGTAATACAAATACAAAATATTATTTAAAATTAATTTGCATATAAAACTAAATTTTTGCCTTTAATTGTGTTTATTTGTATTCAACTCTCAATGAATAAAAACTTAAATATTTCAAAAATACAATCTATAACTCCAACAATAGATTTAATCAATTAATTTTTCGGTTATTTATAATTCAAACATTTGAATAAAAAAAGGCCAACAATTTTGTGGACGAAAATGATAACCGAAAAGAGACTCAAGAAATTACTTCAAAAGAATGGTGTCTATAAAGTGAGCCATTAATATTGTATATAACTTATAGACTAACTAATAAATTAATATACATTTGATTATCCAATCAGTTGGTGTACTCCGTGTTTGCAAAGGACTGGACACCGGAACCAAAGTTGTCGGCCTATAAGCCGAGACCAATGGTAGGCTTTACAAAAAATGAATTCCTTTGGTTCTTCGAAACGGTTCCGAAGGGCACCACATATGTTGATGGCGTGAGGAATGCGTCCGTGTGTTTCCAATGGCTTTTATATCGTCAACAAATGCACCAAAAGTATTAGTGATTATTACAAGAATTACAAGAATTGTGAATTTTACAAATGGGTTTGAGTGTAGTTTTCACTTGATTTGCATTCAAATAAATTGATTATTAGTTTTAAATTGAATAAAACCGTCAAAAGTGTGAATTTGTTTCGTATTATTTTAAATAAAATTTGAAATTTTGTTAAGACTTTTATTTAACATTTGTCGCAATAAGACTACAATTTTTCAATCTATGCACAAAAAGTGTACACTTTTTTCATACAAACCGTATATCAAAAGTTTTGATTCAAAACAATAAATTCACAGTTTTGTGAATTCCACAAATTTATCACATTTACAGACATTTGTATCAAAGACTTTGTGTCCCGAAAATGATATCCGAAAAGAGGCTCAAGAAATTAGTCCAGAAGAATGGTTACTATAAAGTAAGCGAATAATATATAAGTTACGTGTAATTAATATAAAATCAAAACTTTACATTTGATTACCCCATCAGTTGGTGTA